TGCAGCTGCCCCTCCTAAACCCCAGGACGGCACCTCCAAACCCCCCTCCACTAACCCCACTCCTAGCAGCGGGTTTGCAGACAGCAAGCCTGTGTTGAAGAGAAAGTGCCACCAACTCGGGGCTCCTCTGCCCTTGCCACTAAGTGACCTTGGGCGCCCCTTCTCCTACCGCGAACCTGTTTTCCCATCCCCAAAGTGGGAGGACGGGTGGGAAGCCCTGGGGGCTCCTCCAGGACCCTCGGGCCCCTGCACACCCCCTGGGTGCAGGCCTGCCTTGGGGCTCCGCCTCTCCTGACATCAGTGGTCACCTGTCCCGTCTCCGCCCCCACCCTCAGCCCCGCCTCTGCATCCTCGAGGAGGCGCTGGCCTCAGGCGGAGGTGGGCAGCAAGCGGCCTCCTCTCCGGCCTCCTCTCCGTAAGGCTGTGCCAGGAGTCTCCATCCCCGTGGGAAGGGGCTCAGTCAGGCAGCCCTGCCCCGCCCCCTGCCCCCCTTCCCTAGTCCCCTTCCCTTTCTTCTGCTCCCCAGAGGAGCCTTCTCGCAGGCTTCTTCCTGCCCTGGGGGGGAGCCATCCCACCCACCTCTCTGGCCAGGGGCCCCAGTCTTGTCCCTGCTGCAGGGGAGCCCCTCCCTGGGTGCAGGCCTGAGGTCCGGCGGACCTGCTGTGCCTGGCCTGTCCGCCTGGCCCCCCTGCCTTGGACTTGCCGTCCAGCCTCCGCCTGGACGCTGAGCTTCCCGAGGGCAGGGCTGCACCCTCTATCCTGCCCTGTGTGCGCCCAGCTGAATTTGGTGGAAGCTTGGGCTTTGCTGTGACGAACCCCTACGCTTGATTCACCCAAAAGTTTCCAAACTCGCAGCCTCTCTGCTCTGGCGGCCAACCTGGACTGCAGCCTGAGTTTGCTCAGAGGGGTACCCCGGGGCCCAGAGCGGCCCCCTCATGCACACACAGCTGGGCCTCTGCCTCCGGCTCCTCCCCTGAATGTCTGGCCCCAGGGGCCCAGGAAGCGGCCTCTGGGAGTCCCTGCTCGCGTCGTCCCTGTCTGGTCTTCTCCCGCCACACCCAGGAGGGTCCCGCTGCTGCTGCTGCTACCGGCTGTCACCTGCAGCCCCACAGCGACAGCCACGCTGGGGCCCTGCCACGGCCCTGGCACTGCCCGCCCACCGCCCCTCGTGGGGCAGGCGCCGGGCTCCGGCCTTTGGGGTTTTGTAATTTCCTACTGGTGTTTGGGTAACTCGGGGGTGGGGAGGGAGACGTGGGGCCGGGTTGTGGTGACTTTTTTGATATTCATTAGAAACAATACATCCTTTCTGAGATATTTACAGTATTATTAAAAAATGAAAAAGGTTGTACTGTTTTGCATAATGAACGTTTTTATTCCGTATTCCAAGGGCACACGATTGTCTGCTTACTCATTTTTAAAAATTAAAGGAATGAACCAACTATCTGTGGCTGTTCCTGGCAGGCGCTGGTCCCCGGTCTGCATCTCCCGCGCCCCACAGAGCCCTGGGGCTAGACTTGAGGGTGCAATCTCAACAGACGCTGGCGAATGAGAACGAGCCCCTCAGGTAGACACCCCCCCCCCAGTCCCACGCTTTACAAAGCGGGAAACGGAGGCCCAAGGCGGAGGAGCCTGCCAGTAAGGCCCGGAC